CCAGTAGTTTGCTGCTTTCTTATTCATTTTTACATCTCTGAAGCATCATATATTAGTGACATGCAAACGTTTGTGGAGAGAATGAATCAATTTTGGATACCAATATCAAAAAGAACCTCTGCCCTAGCTGGTGTAGCTCAGTGATTTGAGCGTGGGCCTGGAAACCAAAGCATTGCGAGTCCTCTTACCAGTCAGGGCACATGCCTGGGTGCAGGCCAGGTCCCCAGTAGGGGGCGCTGGAGAGGCAACCACATTTTGATGTTTCCCTCTCTCCTTCCTTCCCCTCTTTCTGAAAATAAATAAATAAAACCTTTAAAAAATAACCTCAGGATTAAAATAACTTTTGCTTCTGTATAGAGCAGGGGTCAGCAAACTATGGCCTTTATGCCATTTCTGACCACTGCTTGTTTGTAAATAAGTTTTATTGGAACACAGCCATGCTCACCTGTTTGTATATTGTCTTTGGGTGCTATAAAACTACAATGGTAGAGTTGAATAGTTATGACAGAGACTGCATGGCTTGTAAGTCTAAAATATTACTTTCTGGCCCTTTATAGAAAGTTTTTTGACCCCCGGAATAGAGGTTTAAAACTGCTGTTACACATGTTTTCTGTTGAGTGTGACTCAGTCACAGCATGGCCAACTAGAGTGCAGAGGTAATGGAGGGCACCTGGCTGTTTTGTCAGCCAGAACAAGAGCAAGTCCCAGGAACCAAAATGGGATGGGTGTGACAGAGTCACCAGAGCCAGGAGGAAAGTCATCTTGATGCAATCCCATAATCTCATCTCTCTCTCCCTTCTCCGACCCTCGTGGTATCTCTGACAGCACTGGTGATACTGTTCTTCTGATTATCATGATTTACGTCTTCTTTCTCCTACTTGATATGGACTACATAAGGGCAGAGATCGCAGCTTATCCGTATTCGTATTGTCTAGTGATGCTTCTGGTGAAGTAGGTACTTATTGAAACTATGCAGCACAACTAGCAGGATTATGGTACTATCTGAAGAGGCATCTCAAAAGTAGCAGGATTTGAAATATCAGTAAGAAAGGGATTAGTTAGGCAAATAAAATATCACTTTGGAGTAGAGCATTCAAGGAGGCGGTCACGCTGTGGGAGAGCTCTGCGTGAGAGACTGTTCAGGGAGTCGCTCAGATTTTCTGAGGCCTTTTATTTCCCAAAGGACCATGCACGTTTTTCACTTTCTGACTCAGGAGCAGAATACCAAGCTTAAAGTATCCTCTGTTATTAAATGCGTTCTCTGACTCCTTTGCAGTGGGAAATTATTCCTTTCGCCTCCCGACTCTACTTCTTGTCTGAGAGTGGGGCCTCCTTGTCACTTACTTGTCCCATCATATCACTCATTCCACACATGTTCAATGAGCTCCTACCATGTGTCATGTCCTTTGTGAACTTGGCTTTCAGCTCTGTTTTTCCACTAATGAGTGCTAAGATGATAAACAGTACATTTTACTGAGAACTCTACTACATATAGGTGTGCACGTGTAGAGAGCTGGGTTACTGGTAGCCTAGGTAGTTCTGCTCTGAATTTAGGAGTGGGGAGAGAAGGAGAACTCCAAGTCTGTGGTAAGCTCCTTACAAGTCTTAATTTTCTTCCTGTCTCAGACCTAGTCCCAAACAGAAGCTGCTGGCAGAAAGATTTGGGCACTCTTGAAGTACGATCCTTCACTTTTCTGGAGGGGAGGGAAAGTAGATACTGCCTACGTTCGGCTTTGTACTTTTGATGAAATTCCCATATGCCTAAACTTAGATATCTGAGCTCAGAATGTCAAGTATGAGAAATACTTTTTTCAAGGAACTACAAAGATCTTCAGAGAACATTTAGAAGGCTTCCTTAGTATGCAAGACTAACTAAATTGGAGGAAGAACAAAAACTGTAGGACGTCAGTACTTTTCTTACAGAGTTTAAGAAAACTGTTCCTTCCTTACTGTGTGAAATTTAGAGTTATTGAAGATTACTGTAGGGAAAAGGCTTATACTCCATCAGGGCTGCATTGAGGGAGAATTAGGAATTAGGTCAAACTTGCTTTCAGAACTTCCAACTTTTAATACCCTTCTCCCTGAGCGGCACCTGCCACCTCCCACCTCCAGATGCTCAGTAATCCTCTTTCTTTCTGTTTTCCTTAGCAAAGCCTGATTTCAAGAATAAATTCTTGAAAAGAATTTCTAAGCTATAAATGGCAGAAAAAGTTTAAACTATCTCTGATTTAGGAGTATTTATACTTTAACATGGGATTATGCCATAATTTCTAAGATTGGATCGTGAAGTACATTGACTCTGGAACTCTTTTTGGTATAATAGCCTTTCAGCCTCCTCACAGAACCCTAGTATACAGGTCTCCCCCACCCTCTGCCGCTCCTTCTTTCACAAGCTTTGAGTTTCTACTATATCCTAGAGCCTACCCTCATGGAGCTTTGGTTCTTATGGACAAAAAAATGAAAATAGAGTATTTCTTAGGTATATAAATGATATAAAGAAAATAAAACAGGGTAATGGGTAAGAGTGCCCATGGAAGTTATCAGGGAAGACACCTGTGAGGAAGGGCTAGTTGAGCCACCATTCAAATGAAGGATGTGATATATCCTTCAGGCATAGGAAAACTTCTGGAAACAGTATACCAGACAGAGGGAAAGCTTGTGCAGAAGTTCTGGGGCAGGAATGATTTGGCTCTGTGTTTGAGCGAAAGCAAAAAGGTCAGTGTGAAAGGGATGCAACCAAAAAAGGGAGACTTCCAAATGAGGCCGGAAAGAAAAAGAGGGACCAAATCATATGGTTCTTTTGGGTCATGTGAGAAATTTGGATTTAAATGCAATGGGTGTTTGTTGAATATTTGCAGCATTTGATAGCATCTACAATACTTCAAATACCTGTGCTAAAAATACCACCTACACTGCTTGCTGTGCTTGTATTCCTAAAGGCAAAATCAGCAACCCCCTGGGGAGGCCTTCACCATTCCATACAATCACTCCCTCTTGGAGCATCTCTAGCACTCTCTGGGGTGCTCTTTTTTTTTTTTTTTTTTTTTTTTTTGCTTGGCATATTATGCTTTTTGGTTCATTACACTTTCACTCAGAGAAAGTGCAAGTTCAGTGAACTCAGGGTTTAGAAATCACAGTTTTTTCTACAGTGCCTTCACAATGTCATCTGCTTCCTAAACACTCAGTAATAATTGCTAATGAATGACTTAGGTACTTGAGGTAGCTTTGGGAAAGTACCTGCTGAGTAGGTACAGTTATGGAGAACGTGTTTAACCATGGACTTGGTGAAATGAAGATTAAGACAGAATCTTTTGTTGATAGACACTGACTTTGTCAGGGTCTTAAAAATTAAAAGTAACATTGAGCCACAAATAAGCCTTTAAGCATACCAATAATACCATAAAACTGTGGATTAAATATAGATTTTTGTAAAACATTTAAAATAATCTAGGAGCTGTAAATCAACAGACTAAACATGTGTTTACAATAAAAATCTAAGACATCATTTTTCTACTAATTTTTCCACTTTCACATTATCACCACACAAATAACTGACTCAGTGTTTTGACTTGTAAATTGTCTCAAGTTTCAGTTTCTCTACGGCAGGATATAGTAAGTACATCTGTAATTACTCTTTCGATATACCCCAGAGACTCACAGCTTCTAGATGGAGTTCCGTCTTTGTAGTTGAGCCTCATAGGAAAGCTGTTCAATCTCCTTGATCATTTAGGTTGCTCTTCTCACTACCTGTTCTGACACCTTGAAGTGCAGTATTTGCGTTCCCACAGTTTCTCTAACAGAACCATTTGGCCTGAATAACTTTTTCTTTGATGCCTATTTGTTTGTGACTTGCAGCTTAAGATGAGGCATTCATTCAACAACAGTTACCAAATAATGCTACATTAGTAGACCTGTATAGATGTTTGCAACTCAAAGTAACTATCTAGTTATTCCTAGTCTTAGGAAGTGTGCCACATGCTTTGTATTTTGTAATTAGGTGACTCAGGACCTGGTCCTGTTTCTGCCTTTAACTGAACCAAGCAGTCGGCTCTTATTTTAATTTTTACCTACATAGAACCAGGGTTGAGGTGTTGTACTGCTATTTGCAGTACAATTTTTAATCTCTTCTTAGTTTTGAAACTTCTTAGAATGCTGCAAGTGTTTTATACATCTCTGGTGCAGATAGGCATTTGCACGTTGCACCGAGATGCTTGGAGACTTTACTGTTAGGCCCTGGGAATAATTGACAACATCTGTTGAGGATTTACTACGTGCCAGGTGTAAAGAGTTGACTTTATACACATCTCGTTCATATATTTTTTTAACAGTCGTGTGAGGCAGGAATTAACAATCCTATTTTATAAATGAGAAGACACCCTTCCCAGGTAAGTGTATACGGGAGTAGATTCCTCAATAAAGATCTCATCAATTTATGTGCAAATTGTAATGGGGTAAACATTTCAGGGGTGCTTCAGCGTTAAAAGAAATGTGCTTAGGAACGAACAAGACTCAGTAAGTGGGTTTTCCCCCCCCCCGGAAAGAAAACCACGAATTGCTTACAGGGTGGAGTCCCCTGATATCTAAGTGAGCGGGTTCCCTGTGCCAAAGAGGAATGGGGGTGGGGGGACACACTAGAAAGTTTAGTCGAAGAAAAGCGCACAGTACGTGCTGCACATTCCTCCAAGGGCGCGCGGGCAGAAGCAGGACTTGTGCATTCCTTCGCGCACGCAGGTCAGCCTCGGGAGCCTGGTTGCTGGAATAGTCCATTAGGGATGGTCAAAGTAGGGTGTTCCCGACGGCGGAGCGCAGACCTGGCTGCCCGCTGGGCAGACGAGGGCGCACTGCCTTGGGCGACCACCCCCGCTCCGTTGGTCAGGTGAGCGCAGCCTAGGGAGCCGCTAGTTCTATTGGAGCAGACAGAACACGGAGGGGGAGGAGGTTGGGGGGTGGGATAAAGGGGAGGATGGAGCCACCTTCCTGACCCGGTAGCGGGAGAAAAAATAAGCATCTCCAGCGCAGCGTGGGGACTCGAGCGAGGTTAAGAGGAAGGGTGTGTGAAGGAAGGACCACCGGGGACCTCAGAGCGCGCTCGGATGTCGGTATCCCCGGGGCCAGGTAGGCTTTGACAGAAGGGAACGTGCTGCCAGCATCTCGGTGCCCTAAGGGAGCGCCGCAGCATCAGCTGCGTGGGATCTTTTCTCCGCACCTGTTGCTGGGCGGCGAGGGCTCCGGGAGGCAGGCGCGCCTCGTGCGCGGTGGTCTGTGGCTAACGGGGGAGGGCTGCCAGCGTGCACTCTTTCCACGGCTGCAGCTGTGCGGAAAGCGTGGCGTTCCTGCCACCCGCCCCTTCCAAGGCTGCTTAATCTCAAAGAAGGCGATTAGTGAATGAGCGGAGGAAAAAGTTTCCTTTCTTCTTTTGTTTGGAACCCCTAGCTTTAATGTTAAAAAGTCTGCCTGGAAAATTACTAACCCTAAACGGCGCGCCATAGGTAATAATAATGGGAGGGTTAAGATAAACTTGAGTCTTATATTCCAACATAACCACTGCACTGAAATACTTTCAGTGAAATTTATTGATTTCAGGGGGGTTGGAATTAATGTTTTAAACTATTTTAAAATTGATTTTTCCCCTTAGGACTAAAACAGCAATTATGGCAGTATTCATCCGGGGAAAGAAAAACCCCTGTAACTTTTGTTTTAAACTAACTCTTTACATTTCACAGAATTCACAACCTTTGAAAAGTGTGTGTAATGTGTTTGTATATAAGCTGGACACTTTTTAAAGAAATTACTGATATTAGATCTTAAGGGTGCATAGTTACTTACAATTAGAATAAAGCTAAAAAATGTGCCCTAATATATATCGTTATTTAAACATTCTTGCTAAAGAGTTATTACCTTAAATTTACTAAAGTGCTTTTCTCCTCCCCTTTGTGTGTCATTTAGTAAAAGGGCTAGAAAGAACAAAAAAGAAAAGAAAAGAAAAGGCATTAAGGGAAAGAAAAAATAATGTTCTAGTTGGGATACAAATGAACCCCAGCAATTTTGAGGGGCTACTATCCTAGGCTGCAAGGGATTGCCAAATTCACTCTGAAACTGTGTTATAATAAAATACATTAAATGCACGGATCTGCTGTTAATTTACCAGTGACCTTGGACACACACCCCTACTCTGGCCCTTAGTTTCCTCATTTACAAAGGGAAGGGACTGGACTAGGTGATAGAAAAAAAACTTATTTGGGCTAGAAATGATATGTTCTAAGATTATAACTTTAAAAAAATAACCAAAATGTGTACCCTAAAAAAAAATGACTGAATCCTATCTCCATGTTATTTCCCTGATAAATGGCATCAGCCGTCACCCTGTATTGAGTGCCTGCTGTGTAACGGATTCCGAGAAATGCTTTACGTAGATTATTTAACACTCACAGCACCACCATAAATTAAACAGTATCCCAATACGCATAATGACTCTGAGGAGTGGAAAGATTAAGCTCCTCATCCTGAGTGCTCCAGCTAGTAAGAGTTAGATTGCGGGTTTTTTTCCCTGAGTGCGCTGAACACCTACACTATACTGAGTGTGATGACTAAAGGCTGGAACCACCTGTCAATGCCAGCTGAGAAAGAGTCGTAGACTAAAATGTAAGTCCATAATGGGGTGGAGGTAAATTATGGAATAGCATTGAGTCTTGACCTCACCAGTTATAGAAGTGATCTGTTAGCCAACATTTACTATACTTTCATAACAATTGTAGTTTTTAAAAAAATATGTATCGACTTTTAGAGAGCGATTAAGAGAGACATCGATTTATTGTTCCTCTTTTTTGTGTATTTATTGGTTGCTTCTTGTATGTGCTCTGACTAGAGATCAGACTTACAACTTTCGTGTATATGGATCACACTCCAACCAACTGAGCTACGTGGCCAGGGCAACAATTGTAGTTTTAGGTTGTATGTATATTGATCAGGCACTGAATGCCAGTTGTATTCATTGTCAGAAAATGACAACGAGATATATTTGGAATACAAATGCTTTTATTGTAATACAAAGAATGATAACAAATAACATGGGAAGGCAGAGGCTGATGTCAAGCAAAAGTATTTCAGATAGCTTTCTGCTTAGAGGTGCCCTTGCCGCAGCTGCACCCAAAGAAAATGAGGGGTCACAGCAGAATTAGCTGTGACTAAACCCTTTTGTTCATATTCCCACGATGAATGATAATAGCATGCCTCACTTACTGAATGTCCACTCTATGCCAAGAATTCTCCTGGGCCTTTTAAATAGACTAACTTTATTTTTAATTATCAAACACTATTACTGTGATTTGTAGGTGAAGAAACTGGCTGGACCCACAAAGAAAATAAATTGTGCCTTTGATTAAGTATGCGATCCTTTATTGTTCAGAAATTCATAGGCTGTGAACACAACATTGAAATCCTTAAGCACAGGAGGAGACTTCGAGCCAAAATTAGACCAACCCCTTATTTTATATTTGGGAAAACTGAAAGCTAAACAAATTAAGAGACCTACTTACATTCTATTTTCCATTCATGATTTTAGTTATGTGTACTGTCCCGTAAACTAGTGACAAGTATGTTAGTAAGTTAACTTGGTCATTCAGTGTTTTTTTTTATTGCCACTCACCCGAATGCTGCCTCCTGCCCTTTTTGCATAGCTGTTCTACCTTTGTTGAAAATTCCAGAGTTGCCCCAATTAAGATACAGAATCTTTGAGGACAGTGACTTTATTATATATTTCTCTAGTATTGTTAGGATTTAACAAAGTGGTTAATATATTGAACAAACGGCTCTGCTACCTGCTTATCTGTGGTAAGTTATTATTTTGTGCATGGGGTCCGACATCTGCTCAGTGGAAGCACTATGCAATCACCACTTTTACCTCATGGAGAAAACAGTTAAGCAGTTTACAGTTTATATTGTGCCCTTAGATGATGACTGTTTGATTTGATTATAAATATTGTGTGTTACCATAGAGAGAGATGGATGGACATGTCCCTGATTTTGTGGGAAAAGTCACAATTAAATACTACATACAGTTGAGTCTCTCTCTCTCTCTCCAAAAGTTACTTGGAAATAACTTTTTTCTAGTTGTAAAAATAACACAGTCTTGTAGGAAATTCAAATAGTAGAGAAAAAAAGAGGAAAATCATCAGGAACTTCACTGTCAGGTTTTGGTAAACATCCAGCCAGAGAGATACCTTTCTTCCTTTAACTCTTGCTGAATCGGAGTAAGAGGTGAATTATTTATTGAAACCATTTACAGTTTAAAGCTCTATTTAGTCATAGTATTCCGTCACTTCCAGGCAGCTCAAACTTCATATAATAAAGACATTTATTAAAAAATGAAAACGTAGTAATAATAAAGTGGACTCTTTCTTTCTCAGGCACAGTGAAGTGGTATAGAAAGTGGATTTCCCCATGTGTGCATGTCTTTTTCTCTCTTCACAAGGCAGGGCTGGGGGGACGGGGCATATGCGTGTGTATGGGGGCTCCCCAGTAAGCCAGGATGTCAGGCCACACAAGAAGCCAGCACCTGTGCTCTGTTGCCCTGATGGAGGTGTGGCAGAGGAGGAGAAGGGTGGAGCTAGGACACAGGAGGTAGTAAAAGGACAAAGGCTGTGTTTTCTGATTCCTTTGTGACACACTGTACACTTTCAAATGTTCCAGACCAAGTCCCTCCCCCAGCCTCTGGGCAGGTGGTCATGGGCCCTTTCTGGTGCAGTCAGGCATAAGTCTGCTGTAGCTCAAAATGAGAGCAAGATGCCGGTAGGGCATTTCTCATTCATTTATTCAGGATCCTAATAAATCCGAATGGACCTCCTTTCATATTAATGGGGAAATTTGCTGTTGGAATGGTTGTTCATAAATGAGTTTTGAACCAATATAAAAATCATTAGGTATAAAGAGGCTGGGGTCTCTGAGAAAGGCAATGATAGCTCTTTCATATGTATTTGAATGTAATTACATTGAAAATATTCACGTTTTAAAGATTTTATTATTCGATTATTTTAATTTTGTAAATTTGTTAGTCGAAATTCCTTTTCCCTAGGCACGTTTTCTTAATTTGCACTGTATATTTGGGCATAGAATTCTTTCATGCTTTAACTTTATTAGGGGCTTAACAGGGCTTAAATCCAACCATCTGTTCACATCTTGGCACATCAGCACATTGGAGGTGCTGGTAGGGGCTACATAAATTTCCCACATTTTAAGGGTTATAGAACCAGCTACCTTTATGAATAGATTTCAAATGATTCTCAGCAAGACAATAGTCGCAAAGTAGAGTGAAAATGCATTGTATTCTTTGAAGCACAGGGTCCCCTGTCTGCCTTTAGTTTTGCTGAAAGGCAATTAGCATTTCAACTAGCCAATTTGGTTACATGCAATGAAGTCCTTGGGTTTATAATTTGCGGTTTTCTGTCTGAGGCTGTTGAGCCCTGGATCTTAGGTAATCCTCTCCAAGTAGCCTTCTCTCCAGCACAGTTATTGTTGCTGGTCTTAAATAACTAATCAACAGAGAGTTTTCCTTGCCTTCAACTGGAGGGTGCCGTAGAGCAAGGAAAATGAAATGCCAGGCTAATAAAGGGGATGATTGTAATTATTAAATAGTCTTATTGAAATGTGACACAGGTTGAAAGATACAGAATAGCTTCAAATAAAATGCAGCTTCAAAAAGGCATTGTGTGGCACTCTTAATAGTTTATTTCTGCATGTAGAATACGCAATAAACAGAAGGCATATATATTGGAATTAACTAAAATCACTCAAAATTAACAAGAAGGAGCAGTTCTTAATTATTTATATTGACTTTGCTCTCTTTCTGCAAGAAAGAATTCTGTGGGGAATACATATAAAAGAGAATAAATTTTTTCTTAAGTGTTATAGCAAGTGAACAAGTGCTCTCAGGCATATTGTGGAAGTAATTCAACGGTTTGTACTTCTGTGTTAATTGAAAATAAGATTTTGTTAGCTTCTTTAGTCATGAATTCTGATAATTAGGTATTATTAATATACTTCACTAAAAGGACCGCTGTATATTATAATCCTTTTGTCAGAGTAATTGGAATGACATTATCCTTTAATCCATGGGGCAC